AAAGCCAGGGAGGATGCCTTAGAGATATTTATTTCAGGCCTGAGAAGGGCTCTTAAACCGCTGGACGTGGACCCTTCCTCGTCAAAGTTCAGACAAACAACGGCGTACCAAAAGCCATTGGGGTCAGGGAGGCGAAATAACAATTTCCCAAAAAAACAAGACGCGTCAATGTGCACCGCTGGGAATTGGAGGCAAAGAGTGGAACATATTGCCACGGGTAACCAACAAGACCAGGGTAGTTACAGTGAGACCGCTGCAGAGGCAGTCGCCGAAAAAGATGCGGGTGAGGAGATCGATTACGAGAGTGACTCGATCAATTTTTTAGGGGAATGTAGCGGGGGTTAACATGAAGATATTAATAGACACGAGCGTGTCGAAGAACTACATCAAGCCACTCGCATGCCTTCGGGGCGTCATTCCGGTTGAAACACCGTTCCCGGTGCATTCGGTCAACCGGACGAATAAAATCATCAAAAAGTGTCTTCTGTCGATATTCGGCACAAAAACTCCGTTTATCGAACTAAAATCCTTATCAACCTTCGACGGCATAATTGGTCTCGACCTGCTAACGCAGATAGGGGCAACATTGTGCTTGAAAGATGGAACACTGAGTTTCGGTAACACGACTGAGGCCATAAAATTTCACAGGTGCACTGACGTCAACCATACTAGCGTAGTTGACGTCGACGCACCATTTATGCAGATGTTGAATAGAAGGAGTGCGGCTTTTGCCGACCCTAACGGGACCCACTACCTTACAACACTTCGGTCGTTTCCACCATTCGCACGGTGGACAATGAACCCATATACCCCCTATGGGGGGAAGCCAATTTTGTTGAATCCGAGGTCAGGAACCTCCTGAAGGAGAACATAATTCGCAAAGTCCAGATCACCATATAACAATCCCATATGGGTGGTGGACAAAAAAGGCACTGATGAACAGGGCAACAGGAAGAAACGTCTAGTAATGGACTTTCGGAAACTCAACGAGAAGACAGTGGCCGACAAATACCCCATGCCGAGCATCTCAATGATCTTAGCCAACCTGGGATCGGCAAAATATTTTACCACACTCGACCTAAAATCGGCAAAACATGCTACGTCTACGTCGATGACGAAATTGTGAGACATGTTGATTGGGTACTTAAAAGCCTATACGAGGCAAACATGAGAATAGCTCAAGAGAAGACGCAATTTTTTAAAAAAGCGTCGAGTACCTCGGGTTTATTGTGACAAGTAATGGCACAAAGACAGACCCAGAGAAGGTAAAGGCTATCCAGCATTACGCGGAGCCAAATACAGTTTTTGCACTTAGGTCATTTTTGGGCCTTGCAAGCTACTACCGCTGCTTCATAAAAGACTTTTCTGCTATTGCAAAGCCTCTCGGGTCGGTAAGCAAATACAGATCAAAGAAAATCTTGACTGACCTTAACGAAGCTCAGCGCCATGCGTTCCAAAAGCTCAAGAACATCCTTGCATCAGAAGATGTCATGCTGATATGTCCTGACTTTAAAAAACCCTTTGACTTAACTACGGACGCTTCAGTCTATGGCATAGGAGCAGTCCTTTCCCAGAATGGGAAACCAATCACGATGATATCCCGAACTCTAAAAGACAGGGATGCAAATAACGCGACTAACGAGCGTGAGTTGCTGTCCATCGTGTGGGCCCTAGCCAAACTTCGGCACTACCTCTATGGGGTAAGGGACATAAACATCTTCACAGACCACCAGCCGCTTACATTTGCGGTTTCTGAAAGCAATCCCAACGCTAAAATAAAGCGCTGGAAGGCTCGCATTGACGAGCTTGGGCCAAGCTTTTCTATAAGCCAGGCAAAGAAAATCACGTTGCTGACGCACTGTCTCGACAAAATTTCAACGCGTTGGAAAGCGCCCCACAGTCGGACGCAGCGACGGTTCATAGCGAGGTATCGCTTTCTTATACTATACAAACGACGGATAAGCCCGTCAATTGTTTTAGAAACCAGATAGTTCTAGAGGAAGCCCAATTCCCTCTAAAGCAAGTCTTCATTCTCTTCGGGGAAAAGACTCGGCATATCGTACACTTTACAGACAAAGCCGCCCTTGTTACTGTCATTAAGTCGATAGTAAAGCCGCACGTCGTAAATGCGATCCATTGCGATTTCCCAACGCTAGCATGCGTGCAGCATGAGTTGGTAAGAGCCTTCCGCAGACAAGATTTTGGCATTGCAAAAATCTTGTCGCAGACGTATTTGATGATAATGAGAGGAAAGAAATCATCACGGTAGAACACAATCGAGCTCATAGAGCCGCTCAGGAAAATATAACACAGGTTTTGACCGATTACTATTTTCCCAAAATGACTAAACTGGCAAGCGAGGTAGTCATGAACTGTAAGATTTGCTCCCGAGCAAAGTATGACAGACACCTTAGGAAACAGGAACTAGGCACGACGCCAATTCCGTCATGCACGGGAGAAATGCTGTATGTTGATATATTCTCAACCGATAGGAAATACTTCCTGATATGTGTGGACAAGTTCTCGAAATTTGCCTTCACGCAGCCAATAGCCTCCCGCACCATTGCGGACCTAAAAGCTCCGCTGTTACAGCTTATGAATGTATTCCCTAATACAAAGCAGATCTATTGTGACAATGAGCCCTCTCTTAATTCCGAGACGATTAGGTCTCTTTTACAAAATAACTTCGGAGTCTATCCGCAGGTTTCTCTGGATACTTCACCTCTTTACAATAGTTGCGACCCGCATCACTGACTACTCCCACTCCCACTATATTCCCATCACAGATAGGACGGTACTCGTGTGGGAGGAGATAAATTTCATTAGGCACACCACAAACTTGACAGAATACGGACGCATTGCTGACGGGACCGCTAAGATGACAGACCTTTTCCCAAGATCACACATGAGGCTACTTTTAGAAGTTGACTCAAACCATGTCAAAGACATGCCTACGAACATTGGGATTCACAATAGGATAGCAAGAAGTCTCGACTTCCAAGGGACGGCCCTCAAGGTAGTGGCCGGTACACCGGACGCCTCAGACTTGGAGAATATTAGGATTACGGAAGCGCAGCTAGTCCAATCGAATAATAGACAGATTTCCATAAACACGAAGATCCAGGGCCAACTAAACAGTCTTACAGATACGGTGAATAAGATTCTTAGCATAGAAAAAAAGGAACACATCAACTCTGCCAACTTGTACGAAACACTATTAGCCAGAAATATAATTCTTATCACAGAATTAGGTAATTTAATGCCTTGGCCAAAGCCAACTTGGTAAGCCCTTCTCTACTTGACCATGTTGACATAGAAACCATCCTCACTAAACAATTCACAGGAGTCACAATTTCAAATCTACTAGAAGTATCCAGTATTAAGGTTTTACAATCAAATAATATACATTTTATTATTGTGTACCCTAGAGTAATTTTAGCTTGTAAGAAAGTCACGCTATTCCCGGTTGAGCACAACAGTACCATACTGCAACTTAAGGACAACGTCGTGGCTGAGTGCGGAAGCCTCACTGCCGACTTTGTCATTGTTAACGGCTTCCGTTTTAGGAATCGTGAAAATACCAAACGTCGGGTTCCCGGAATCGCCTCGGTGCCTGCCATGAACATCACGGAGCACCACAAGGTCCTGAGTCTACCATTCCTACACCAGCTCAGCGAGGACAATCGCAACTACATCAAGGAGATTGAGCTTGAAGATGAATCCCATCCTTACCATTGGAGTAGGAGTAGCCGTCTGTGGAGTCATCGGCATCATCCTTTATCTCAGAACCCTACTCAAGAGGAAAAGGGAGTTGGTCCAGGTCAACGCAATGATTGAGAACTTGAGAGGTTCGAGGGCGACCACTCTTGTAGAGGGGGAGTAGTTAACACTCCCCACCAACGGCAGGGTATCGGCAATGTTCTTACTTTGTAAGAATGCTGATCCAGCGCTGGAGTGGATGGGCATCGAGTCGAACTAGCATCATATTTCAGCAGCGCTGCTCAAACGATGGAGCCGTCCGCGGCGTACCAATTTATAATTCATACTTTTGTACTTTAGCTTTACACTCATATTCAACCGAGCATGAAGTGCCGCCAATAAATATCTGAACCCTAAATTCGTCTCCCAATTCCGTTGGCCAAAGCCACGGTACCTTGGAGAAACTTAGTAATTTATATATACTTTATGGGGTCGGAAACGTTTCCTTCTGTGCGCTACATACAACCGTTATTCCCCACAAATACAATATACCCTATTTACTCTTCGAGTACCGGGTATAAAAATCGAATATGAAGTTTTCCCAGCAGGATTTATCACTGTAGATATATTTTATATTTAAATCAACTAATGGCTAATATCTTACTTATATTAAATATATATCCTTCAAATTAAATTTATTTAATTTGTTTATCGATATTTAAGGGTATTGAAATACTTGGCTTCCAATGCAACATTTTTATTATTATTTAAACTTCCTTTTGTTGACTTTTGCTCTTGCGTCAGCCAGTTCCATTAGGATCTGAAGGGTGTTCTCTCAAGGAAAAACAATAAAAACAAGGCTGTCCTTTGGAAGACTGTAGACTACTCTCGTATGGTCAAAAATCAAACACACAAAAACACAATTTTCGACAAACAATTTTACATTTTCAGTACACACACTTTTCCATGTACAAAATCCAGAACAATAACCAAACCCTATGTCTTTTCGCTGGCCCAAAAATGCCGCTAAGGCAGTAAACATGAAGGTACGAATGGAAATTCACCGATAGATTCAAGGATCTATCCATCCCAGGAAAATCAGTTGATAACATAATAACATTGCATAACATAATTAATAAAATACCATTAAAAATTAAGCAACAATTGAGGTAAGAACGGGATACTGTTAGTGCTTAAAAAAAAAGGATTTTATCCTATTTCTCATTATATTTTGTAGACATTGTGGCCTGGAAAATTTTCTAGCAGGATATTTCTTCATCCCCTTTTCAGTACTTAGATGACTGACCCATCACCATGGCCATGCGATTAAACGTCGCTCAAAAGACAATGGTCCCATGCCCTTTACCCACACAGTGGCGGTAGCAACAACAGCAGCAGCAGAAGCAGATAGCATTGCCCATATCCTTTCCCGACACGTATCCCTTTATGGACGCACAGCAGTTGCAGCGGTACTACATCGCCCAGATGCAACAGCCGCAGCCCCAATTGGGGGCCAATATGTTCGTACAGCCGTGGTACATCTGCCAGCAGCAGCAGTGCCAGAGCTACGGCTACTGCTATGGGATGCAGATGCAGATGCCACCAAATGGCGTTGTGCCTCAGACCTATAGTGGCCCACCAACAACAGCCTCCCTACAGGTTCGTAGAAAGTGTTTTCCGATCTTTCAGTAAAGGATTAACACTGCAATCACGATCCTTAGTCCGCAGGAACGCTGGCCAACAGCACAGGGAATCGCAGTGCCACTGGACAGACACGATCCGTTCCCAAAGCTCAAATCCAAACACCAGAAAGCCATAGCCGCAGCCCTGCAGGAGGCAGGACCTACAACCAGTGCAACATGCCGCTTCCAGAGACCGCCTGCGGCTGCTGTGGCAGCCTGAACAGCTACGAGACGGACGGCAGTGCAAAGTTTGGGGCAAGCAGCATAAACCCCGCTTCCAATCCCAAAATCCATGAAGAGGCGAAGAGAACAGCAGCAGCAGCCAAAACAGTTGATAAAGGATCCACAAAGGGATTCACTGAAGGATTTCCCTAACCATCCTCATAGAGAAGATCTATCCAGCCATTCCAAAAGAGAAGAAGAGATTGATACAAATAATCATTCCAGAAACGATTCTAAGAAGGAGCAAAGGACAGATCTAGACAAGCAGCAAAAGCCCTCCAAGAATCAGCACAAAAAGGGCCTCAAACCGAAGAAGCTCAGGGCGGACATCGACAGCGCTTTGGGCAGTGGTGGCAGCAGTTTCATCAAGCGCCTGTGCGAAAGTATGCTACACACCACGAAGCGAAAACAACCCAGCCACATGCGGAGTCAACACCAAACATCACCCCAGGCTCCTCGATCGTCAGTTCAGGGTCCTTGCGGCAGCCACCTGAAAAGCCGAGTTTCTTTAAGCGTCTCTTTGGGGAGTTGCGCGACAACGAGGTGTCTTTCTATGCGCAATCCAATCACCAATCAAGGTGTAACATACACTATCCCACGAGCCGGTCTTCCGATTGTGTGGAGGAGACAGAGGCCTTCCAGAAGCTGAGAAGAAAGCAACAGATAGCAGCCGAGGGCCCCTATAAAAAGGCAACACAGTAGCAACGATGGATTCAATAGATTTCAAACCTATTCCAAATTTCAGGCAATAAACTTAAGCAAAGGGCAGAAAGCGATGCTAGGAATTTGAATCTGTAATTGGCGATCTGCCATATAATTTCTGTAATTTTCTGAGTAAGTCCTTAACGAAGCAGTCGTCGGTCCGCTGTCTAGTCAGATTTTCTCAGTGCACATCAAACCCACCAAAGGGGCCACCTACCCAGTAAAACAGGCCAGACACTCGTTCACACATGAGAGGCGAGCGGTTTTTGAATTGATGGACGGCGGCTCATTAAACGACCATCAAGCATTATTAATTTTGACATTTCAATAGCCATATATCATTAACAGTCAAGAGGGGCCATCAACAGTCATCAGATAGCCAACATCAATCCGTCAATCATTCGGCGGGGCGGTTACAGTTGGTTACAGCATCAACAGCATGGACATGCGGACAGACAAATTCCCAACACAAGAAGAATGGAGTATGGATGGAGTATTGGGCAGTTAATAGGCGAACAGGCTAATCAGCCTCGTTACCAGCATGGTAACACCAGGTACAAAAAAGACCTCTCCCCCTGATAGTCCTCTTGTATGTAGGGGCAGGGAGCTTCCCTAACGATTTGACTGTTTTTTTTGGTTGTTGGAAAAAGTAAGTAGCTGAAAATGTTCGGGGACTTTCGAAAGTTGTTGCGAGTGTGCTTTAAGAAGTTCTCTATTAGGAAGGCTGCGATATGAGAATATTTGGAATATTTTTGGCAAGAGAAAAGGCCAAAAGGATCGTCATATAGGGAGAAAGCTCGCAAATATCCAGAGGGTAGAATATTCTTAGAATCTCTATCGTTGGAAGATACATTTAACATAAAAATTTCAACATCAACTAAGTCAACAAATACTTTTTGAAGCTCTTCCTGCATTTGCACTTTCCTATTATTTATTTTCCAATGTTTAATTAGTCTTTTTGCTCCTGTAAAAATCTCTTTTTATGCATAATTTCTCACAAGTGACATTTCCTCGAACTAATCATCCAGCCCTCTCTTTGTCAGCCCTTTCTGTTTCCTCATTAACATTTCAATAACCCGCGTACGCGCACTGTCACGAGGCCGGCCTTTGTTGGGCCGTCGCTTGGTCTGTTGTTGTTTTCTGTAATTTTTGTTGTTAGGCACTGCAATGGCAGTAGGGCGGGGCAATTGTGTTTGCCCCATCATTAGTGACGGCTCAGAGCAGAAGGTGCGACGACAACTTCAACTCACATTCCGATTCCAATTCCGACTGTTGTACCGATCTCTCTGTCCCTTGCGCTGTGGCCATCCATTGGGAAAGTGCAACGCTTGACTGAAGCCCACGCAAAGGTAGCCCGTGCCACCATGCAACAATCCCTCCCGTCTATTTATTATCAGAATTTCGAAAAATGCATTGGGGGGAAGGCAAAAAACAAATTGGTTTTCGGGGAAACTTGTTGCCCCCTGCAGCAGTCACAGCTCCCAATCGAATTTGCAGTCATCTAAACAGAAAAATACCAGAAAATGCCCCGCCATCCCGTGGGGTTCTTTTACCTTATCCTGTACACAGTTCCCCTTACTCCTTCCTTCATACATCCCCGTTCCTTTCGTGGCTCCGTTCCTTCATTCACCTTCTCGGCTTGACGATGTTGCCGTTGACAGGCGAGCGAGCAATAAGTTTCAAATAGTGCTGACAGTTCCGTCGAACGTCTCGTCGCTCATGTCAAACGGAATCAAGATGAGAGCGGGGGCAGGGCAAGCGCGGTGCGCGAAATCAACAGGAGAGGGGCATCAAGAGAGGACGGAGCAAGTGGCAGCTTGATTGGGAAGGGGATTACGGGAGGGCAGAGGAGCAGAGCAGCAGTGGAGCAGAGCGGAGAAGGTGGGAAAGGAAGCAGTAATCGAAGCATTGCCTTCAAGCTGCCTGATGCCTGCCTGCCTTCAGCCAGTCTTTCCCCCCTGAACTCTTATGCCGTTTCGATTTCATTAAAGAATTTCGGCATGCTACACTCAAAGAAAATTGTGAGCATAGATGCACAAAAAGATGACAAAATATGAAAGAATGAGGCAAAGAAAATACCGAAAAATTAAGCAGACTAAACAGAGAAGAGAAATCAAGAACAAAACTTGTGGAAAAATGTTAGCCAAATAGACAAAGAACATTAAACAACTTTACACAAATTTCCTTTATTATCCCCGAAAAACACTGCGTTTTTCATTAATTTCTTATCTTAAATATGCATTCAAGTCAATCTGATGCCGCGCCTAAATTTGGCAACAAGACAATTCCCTAAAAAAATAAACAATTTATTTACCCTAAAAATATTTAATGAGCGACACATTCCGGGGCATCCGCATTGAAAGCAACCCATTGAGAAATCTATGGCGGCACTTAAGATTATATCTAGCCACAGCGTCCGCGCGCACAGAGAGTGAGAATTTCATGCTCTCATACCAATAAATTATTTACCATGTAGAAATCATGGCAGAACAGGAGGAAACGAGCGAACGCGTACACGAAACTTGAAAACATGTTAACGCCATTTAAAGATTTATTTGTAGTCGTCCTTCCATTCCGGAGGGGAGTTTCAGGGAAGGAGAGTTAAATGCAGAGAGGCAGAGTTAAAGGAAAAGTGTGGGGCCGCAGTTAAATAAAATCTAGCATGGAGAGAGCTTCGAGGTAAAGTTCCATTTGCAGGTGAAGATGTTACCCACGACGTTCTTTATTGCATTTTTAATTTTTACCGTAGAATATGTGTGTCAGAGGGGGGTACGGGTAACCGTATCCAGGTGCCCCGTGTCCCGTGTCCCGTGCCCCTACTGGAAGTTGTGCCACTCCAAAGAACTTGCACAAAACTTCATCGTAGTAGTAGTTGTCGTCATCGTTCCTCTTGGGTCGTGGGGCACTTGAAAGACGGTTCGCATATCTGGCGGTCTACGAGAGTCTGTTCTTTGATTTCGTGGCAGATTTCAAGTGTTTAACTTCATGGATGAGGCAGCTACAGGGCCAGGGGCACGCAACTGACTCCATGCAGTTTCATAATTTACTGCCTTGTCGGGAGTTTGAGTTGGAGTTGGAGTTTTTGGGATGGAGTTTTGGCCATTAAGCAGTTGCATTAACCGCATCCCTCTTTTCATTTTGTTAGAGAGAGGGAAACATAAAATTTCTCTCACTGGATTTAAATTGGAATCCCCTATAGAAACCATCCCCCAAAGCCAAACATAAGAGCCCGAAATTCCCAGCTAGAGCGCATTTAAAGCTTCGGTAAATGCTGCTCCGCTTTTCAGATTCAAGTGACTTTTTGTAGATATACTTTATAAGACGATAATTGGCTTATGGGGGGGCTTACGGGAGAGCGTTTCACAGAGATTGTGAAAGTATATATATAAATGTGTATAAAGCCGTTTCTTTTTTAAAAAGTTTTTGAAGCCAAGTGATTGCGATTATATGTTGATAGGATTTAGTTAAATCAAAGGAGGAGAATTCCCCAGAAGAGGAGCAGTAGATGTTCCCTATACGGAGGAGTTTACAGTGGGAGGAAGACTTATTTATAGGAGAAAGAGAACTCTGTAAGCGGAGAGATTAAAGATATGCCTGTTGAATTAAATACTTAATTGATCTCCTTCCATAAGGTCTAGTTTTTCAAAGTTGGCGATCCCCAAATGTTTTTCTTCTGTAGATGCCGCAGCTAAAACATAATACCAGCTTAAGACGAAAAAATATAAAAAATCATCTATCCTTCAACGGTTGGTTATTTTTGTGGTATTTTTACAGCCCTATCCTCCAGAAAACACACTCAAAATTATCCACTTATCTAAACGGAACACCAGAGGTACGAACACAAATTCCTTCTACAGCCATCAAATATAACTTTTCTCTGACATAAAACCTAAAAATGTAACTATAAGTCGTGGAAACAAACCTACAATAAAACTCTCTAAGTAGCCTGTAAATATGACACTCTCTAAAGATTCTTTATGGTTTTACCTGTAACCATTTGGATCGTAAAATGTAAAGCTTTAATCTGCTTGGCCCCAATAGATTTGCCATAAATACTTTTACTCGTTCGCACTCGTACATATGGCAGATATGTTTGAGTCTCAATCTAAATCCAGACTGCCGTCGGAAACGAGAGCCATTTAAGTGAAGCTAATCTAAAACGAACACAGACGACGCACCCAAATAGACACACAGACACACACTTACTGAAAGATGTCGAGAGCTCTTTTCATAAAGCCTAAAAATGTTCCAGACACACAATGCGAATTATGCCGGGGATGAAAAGTGAAAGAGAGAAGGTAGCCAGACGGGTAGTCCGTGTACGGGTACTTTTTAAATAAATTATAAAGCATTGAAAAATGTGTGTGTTTTTGTTGAATGAATGACAATGGGATTCGGAATCAGAATCAGAATAAAATAAAATAAAGCAAATAAAATGCTAGAAAGTATGCAAAAAGTCAAGTACAGTTGAAAAGAGTCGACCGAGACAGTACGACAGACAGACGCTGAAGACGAGGTGGCTGGGGAGTGACACGAAAGGAAATGCAGACAATGTGGAGAATGTCGAGAATTGTCGTCTGCGTTTCTGAAGGTGTGGTGTGTCTCTGAATGTTTCTATGTGCCTTCCTCAAGTCCCGATGATCCTTTTGCTAGGTTTTGGTTCTGCACTTTCATTGTGCTTTCTGCTGTGCCTTTCACACCCCTAGAATGTGTGTAGTGTAACATTTACCAGGCTTAAAATTCTCAAAACTATTCACATTTTCCTTTCAGTTCTGGCCCAAAAAAGGGGGCCGTTCCAGACACTCATAAAAGGTCTTAAGAGCAATTGGGCCCCGCGCCGGTTACAAGATGTTTTTAGTTTAGGATTTTAAGTTGGTTTTTATGAGTCTTGGGGCTTTAAAGGTATTCGGGAAAGAGAGCTGGATATGTAAGGAGATAGTAGAGGGCTAGTGGAGTGCTTCTTAGTTTAGTTTCATTTCTAGAAACTTGCTGTTTGTATAGTTATGTATAGTTTTGTATAGTTTTAAATCATTATTGTACTTTATTTTATTATACTTTATTTTTATTATTGA